TATACATATATATGTATATACATATATATATATACTTATATAGACACAATGAATATGTTCCGCATTCTCACCAGCCCATGGCATACTACTGGGGCGCTCACATAGTGAGGAAATCCAGAGTAGTTACCTACACAAATATTCAATTAAAGCCAAAATAAAGACCATTGAGTTAGTATTGTGTGAATATTGAAAAGCTATGGAGACGTACAGATATGTACAAATAGAGGTATACGCGGGTAACGTCAACCAGGTAGTGGAAATCACAGAACTCGGAAGCTACACGTATTTTTATATAGAGTTGAATGTGAGCAGCGTCAATCAAGTAGTAGGAATCACATAGCTCAGAAGTTACATATATGTGCAAATAGCGGTTAATGTTGGTAGCGTCAATCAAATAGTAGAAACGACATAGTTCTCGAGCCATGCAGAGTGCTTTCGAGGCGAGAAAACATATTCTATCAAGTCTGACGCTGAACTGTACTAGCTTATACGACTTCCGTGTATGTCTACGGAAGCCATATATTTATAAATACTATATATACTATATATACTATGGAAGCCATATTTACAATCCCAGTTTCAACCCATGTACACACATATGAGCACTATGCACATATACATGGGCCTAAATGGGACTAACGCTGATGTCGAGGAGTACATACTTGGAGCTAAGTAAGTACCATTGAGTGCGTTCTGATACCTGATCAAAATCAGTGCCAGTTGTTTTAAAAAATACACACACACGACTACACAAATATGTCTCGTCTTATGCACAAATATAATGCAGACACATACATAAACACTCACAAACCCCACCAACGTCTATTTAATACACGCACACTATAGAAACATGCTTATCTACGCACAAAACACACCTACTCGGAGGTCGAGGTAGCGCACTCCCATATCCAGCTGCTCACTGATCGATACATTCTGGCACTTCGATAGCTGGCGGGTGATCGTGTTGATAGTGTGCGATGCAGAGTTGTGTGAACCCGGTAGATGCAACTCTTTGATGTGCTTGTATTGCAAAGTTTCACTGTTTAGTAGTGATAGTAGACGCAACAGTGGTATGGTGTAAAGGTGAGTAAGGGTGGGTTTCGCTTATCAAGGTGGACAATCAAGCCTAAGCTTATTCGTACCAATCTGGGTTGGTTGAAATAACAAGCGATGCTATCTGCTACACTGGGGTATAGTTCTGTCATCCCGCAGAAAAGTTTGGTTATTCTGCAGTGTATCGTGATGAGTTGTTAACTGTCCCTTTAAGTCACGCATACATCACAGGCCAAATACCTATTATTGGACATCCAGTTGGCGAGGTCACCTACAGCGGTGTGGCAACGTGACTGACCATCCTCACATACTGGCGTAACCTAAGAAGAGTATATTTGGAATAACCAAAGATAGATATATAGTTGAATAATAAGTCACTACCTATATTATTATGACAAGCACAATTATTTCGCTCCACACAATACTTCCTCGAGACCGAAATGAAAGATTACTTACAGACAGATAAAAATGAAAAGGATGTTAGCAAAACTTGAACTAAGCTAACCAGAGAACTTGTATACCTTTACATACCTCGGTTATATCTTCCCGTAAGCCCTGACATAGTAACTTCAACACCTTTAAATAATTCATTAGGGACACCTTTTTAAATCACAGAGTAGCTAGAGTACATGCTTATCGTCGTCGGATGCGTATTATTTTTGTACCGTACTGAGAGATGCTTCTTGCTACTACTGCTGCTACGCATTTTAAAGTGGTCTACACATTCTCTCCTATGTACGCATTGTCAAATGGTCGTTCACACAGGGATACTTGAATATTTGTGGCGATTGTTTAATATGTATTATCATTTCATTATCAGTGATCAATCAGTACCGAACCTTTCAATCTAAAATTTGAGACGTTTTGTCTTTTTCAGGAAGTTATGCGTTTAACGTTTTGATATGGTATGCTTTTCTATTTTTAGTCCGAGGTCCACGTGACAAAACCGAAACATCTGAACTTGAACACAATAGTAAGTTGATTAGAATACGTATAAATAGACAAATAGAAGGTTAACTTTACTAAAGCAATTCGGTGATTTTCTGCCATAGAGAGCTTCGTATGGTCTTGATGACTGAAGCTCTCCGCCAATTTTACCGTAGAGTGAATGGGTGTGACATCCAAAGAAGTGTTTCGTTATTGAATGCTATCTCTTAGTCCACTCTACATCTACTAAAATATTGAATCGTAAAATCAACTCTTCATTAAAAGTTGTAAACAACATCTTACCTAGAGCGAAAGGCGTTATACCGCTATATATTTGTTTCTGTTTCAAAGGCGTTATACTTCTGTATAATGTTCGCTTGGTTGACTGACAATAATGACATAATATCTATATATATATATAAATGTTTTGTATATATATATATCCAGTCACTATATATTTTGGATAAAGGGGTTATATCCGTTCGTGTATATTTAGATGAGATAAATTCTCGTTGGCCGAATTGGTTTTTTGTCTCTTGGTTACGTAGTCGCAGAGCGAATCTTATCCGAGATTTGTTCATTAGTATAAACTAAATTCAGCGTCAGGTGTAAAACTTAAGTGATGGCAACTGATTAAAATACCATAGACTTTAAAAAGAAATACACATACTTCCAATGGCGAGAAATTTGAATTCGCAGACTCGGTCTACTTATGTGTTGATCCATAACAATATTCAATTAAAAGTGCATTTCACGCTCAGGCTATATAGCAAAGGTAGGTTGGAATTTCGAGACGTTTCTATGTTCATTGCTATGATGTCATACTATGTTCGACTGACGGTGGCAGGGTTCGTCTCCCTCTAAATATAGCCACACAACGCTCAGACACTGACAGACACACATACAATATGTTTAAAAAGGATACACTCATGTAGTTTGACACAGCGTATGTGACTTTGAACCAAGTCAAAACAATACATCCAACTCACCTTCAGCAAACTTTCGTGGATTCAGTCGCGCGAAGGTGCTGATGGAAAACCACCACCATGTAGTATCGATTCATGTGCACTCGTCTACCACTTGTGGTTTTAATAAATAAATCGAAATGTGCATGAACGTGTAATTAATATTTTTACGTTCCATCGGTCGATCGAACAAGTAGTATGAGTTGGTAAAGTAATTTCAAACACTTGTACGTCTATGTGCGCATACACACAATTTACAAAGTGGTGCAATTCAACACCCATTTCTGACACGATAGTTATAGAAAAGTACTATTTACTTTAGTTTGCGCCAACGTTATATGTGTAGCCTATTTTCTCTGCGCTTTACTGTACATGCAAAAATTTGTCTGTACAAACGTACGATACAATATAGGAATTCTACTACATACATACTTAAAATACACACTCGCATACATACATACATGAATACACACAATATATATATATATACACATCTATATAGTATAATTCTGATTTTATATATATTCATATATATACACACACATATGTATACATTATAAATTTGTTATTGTATATAAAGATATATATACATACACACACGAAAATATATATATACATACATATATCTGAATAGATATCAGAGCCATAATTATATTCGCATATATATATATACATGTATTTGTATATTACACAGAATTTCGTTCTGTAGTACACATCACGAAAAACTCTTCTGATCGCCATGTTCAGAATGAATATACATATAGTAAATTAATAAGCTAAAAGACAAAATTAAAGGCTTTATACTCAGAAGAGCTATCTACTTCCCAATAGTGTGACGAATATGAAAACACAGCCTTATGTTACAGCTGTGTATTGATGTCTCACGTAAGGAAAACAAACAAGCAAGAGCAGAACTTCAGTATTTATTTAGTTCTTGTAGATCTATATAATGGGATAGAGGACGACACAAACCATACTACAAATAGTATTCATTATCTAACTTTAAATAGGTAATCGTTCATCGAGCATATCCGTACGAGATAAGACATTAGAATATTACATTCATAATGGATAAGTTCAAAGCAAAAGTCAATATTGCTTTGCGAAATAAACAGTCAATATTGATTTGCGAAACAAAAAAGTCAATATTGCTTTGCGAAACAAACATACCAGTTCGAAATACATAGGACGACAATTAAAAGAAAAGAAGTGCATATGTATGCATGTCACAAAAATACATACATACATACACAGTAATAAATAGTAACCATCCTCGTGAAAGGCGTAACCCTGTCCTCAGCAAAACTGGGCATCGGCATGGATAACTATATGCAATTTCGAGAGCCTTTAATCAAGCCCTGATAAATGCACCTCCCTACATGATATTCCACATGCAACCAGAGGTACACAAAACCAAAAGACTTGTCATGATACACGATGCCTACAAACTATATAAGCATGCATACAATGTCTAGCATATACATATATAAACGAATTTAGATACGTGACGCAATCTCCTTGGCGTGAGCTCGCTCCTGCTTGACGGTCGCGGCGACGGATTTAACTCCCATTACACCACCACCCCAGTGTCTGCGCTGTTCCTCCCACTTGTCAGTGAAGTTGCCCTTGACAGCCTCACAAAGCTTGTTGAAAGCGGCCTGATCGGCAGCGTTCACATCAACGAAAGCTACAGCACATGTCTTCTTCTGGTGGATAAGAGCTCCTAGACGGGACTTTCCCTTGACAATACAGTAAGGGATGCCCATCTTGCGACAAAGAGAGGGCAACCAGAGGACAAGCTCTACGGGCTCAACATCGGCAGCGATAACCACAAGCTTAGCCTTCTTCTTCTCGATAAGACCAGTGATGTGGTTAAGACCAAACTTGAGGGCAGCAGCGGGCTTTCCCTGCTTGCCATCTCCTCCATTGGCCTTGGCCTCGGCAGCTTTGCTAAGACGCTCCTTCTTCTGAGCGGTGGTCTCGGGGCGGTACTTCTCGGCGAGCTTGAGCAGCTCAGCGGTGGTGTGCTTGTCTAGACACTTGTTGAACTGGTTCAATGTGGGGGGTACCTTTAAACGCTGCATAAGGATCGCACGCTGGCGTTGCAGGCGAATGTACTTGGGCCATTTGACGAAACGACCAAGATCACGCTTGGGCTGGATGTCACCACCGATTCCGAAGTTACGGCTCTTTGACTCGAAAAGGGGGTTGCTAGTCTTGGTAGCGGTCTTCTTCTTCTGCGCCAACGGGGCAGGGGCGACCTTGTTTCCTCTTTTGGGTCCCTATTAATTGCGGAAGTGTGAATATACAGATAAGTATTTCTACACACGCAGGGAAGAATTCCAAACGAATGTGTGCAAAAATTCCAAGATTGGGGTAAGCGGTAGTCTCAGTCACATCGTTCAACATTTAAGTAATTCTGAAATTTGGGTATAGATTATTTTTGAGCATCATAGACTTTAACCCTTGTCTCTAATAACATAATAGTATGTGTTACTTACCATCTTGAATGACAACAGCGGATTAACGATGTATGGAAAAGGATAGGTTATGTGTAAGTGTGGGTGCTCTTATGGTCATTGTTTGTGTAGTTTCAAAATGAGTTGCGAGTCGCAATCTCCACATGTGCAACTATTCCACAGAGCAAGTTATTTTTATCGCCAAACAATTTTCGAGCATGTATAATTATATAAACGGAAGACGATTCATTGTTTTACAATCGGGTTTCCATTCAAATTGTCTGATTGATCTGAAACTTCGAATGTACTCTTTTGATATACTCAAAACTGGATTTTGTGAAATATATACATAGTATTGAATTAAAATACTTGTAATGAGTCTGAAAATGTTTTCCACCAATTAATAAGCAATAACGAATTCAAAAATCCTCTTCAATATTGTTTTGGAACTGCTTTACCCAAAAGTACTCAAATATTTCGAATTTGATGCCAAATTCGTACATATTTGGGAGAACTCGGTTCGAGTATTTTGGAATACTTTATAGATACACTGTTCATTATTTACAATTCCTGATTTAATAGTCCGGATTATATATTTTCCCAACAAAAGCTACACGTGCAAACACCGAATTTCAGAATAGTAAACCCGAAACTTCGCAGTACGAAGTGAGTAGGTACAGCACCCGTGGTAGCTCAGGCGTGTGTGATTACACCATTGTTCATCTTTGGTTATGTAAGGGTTTATGTCGATAGATGCATAATCCTTTTCCACACCTTTGGGTATTAACGCAACCATGGTATGTGGAAAGATACATGACATGTAAAAGTGATAAAGTTATAAGCTTGCAAGCGTGGTAGTGGAAGTGCGACCACTATAGAGATATGATACATACAATTGCCGATCCGGAGTAGTTGGAGATGTGACAGTGCATTGCAACACTCGACAGCATGGAGATGTACTACAGCAGAAAGAAGCAACAAAATAGAAAATACACATACAACATGCATGCATGAAATGACACGTGTATACAATTACAAATATGGGTGGAGCTTATTGAGAAGAAAGATAAGCCTGTGATACGAGTCACAAATGCCCCGATCAGCACACGTACAGCCGCAAATACAGCGAATCAAGTTGCCCGTGACCAGACCTGTATACATACCCTGACATTAGCTGTCTAGATATCTTGTACATGCACATGTTGTACAGAGTTATATTTGCATACACAAATTATATTATTACACCACATACGCAGTGCAAAAAAAAATGGGGCGTGATTGATTGTACTTATTGGTATTTTTAGCAATGCTAATCATATGGTTTACTCAGTGCATACTATATATGGATGGTATACGCATTACACATATACTTGGAATCTAAGGTGTCTGTTCTATTATATGTGATGGACGTCAAGCATTTGTACACAGATCCTACAGCACGTGTTGAATCTAAATGCACACACGCACCCCATCCACACACTCTAAGAAGTATATTGCAACACAGTATAAAATTCTAAACGTACAATGCACACCTTACACGCTATCAACAGACTCGCGGACCAAAAAGGCACATGAAGCGGCTAGCCGCCCCCAAGCACTGGATGCTGGACAAGCTCACCGGTGTGTGGGCTCCCAAGGCCTCCAGTGGTCCCCACAAGGCACGTGAATGCATGCCTTTGGTGATCTTCCTGCGCAACCGTCTTAAGTACGCTTTGACTGGTGACGAGGTTAAGATGATTGTCAAGCAGCGTCTAGTTAAGGTTGATGGACGTATTCGCACCGACCCTACTTTCCCCGCTGGTTTCATGGGTATGTGACGCGTTGTATTTGTATCTGTGCGACTGGTGTACTGCGCCTGCCGGTCGGTGTTTCATAGTGATAGTAGTTACAGCATTATAGTCCTTACAATTCTGATAGCATTGCAAACACCTTTGCCACTTGCGGGTTAGCAGCATTTTAAGTGTTGCCTTACACGTCCGTTATAGCATTGCATGCGATATGACTTGACTGGAAACTCACAATCCACATCCCCACTCTACGTATTAGATGTTATCTCTCTCGAGAAGACCGGTGAGAACTTCCGTCTGATCTACGACAACAAGGGCCGTTTCGCTATCCACCGTATCACTACTGAGGAGGCCGAGTACAAGCTGTGTCAGGTTAAGAAGGTCGCCTTGGGCCCCAAGGGTATCCCATACTGCACCACCCACGACAGTCGCACCATCCGTTTCCCCGACCCCTTGGTCAAGGTCAACGATACCGTTAAGGTTAACATCGAGACTGGCAAGATCGAGGTATGTATATGATACGCAATTAGATGGGGTGTGTAGGGTTTAGAGTGGGTGTGTGACCATGCTATACAGAGCCGTTTGCGGCTGTGGAAGTACAGTCGGGTGTATTGCTATCGTAGTGAGCACAGTCGAGGGCGACTAGAATAGCATTGCATCGATATATATAGCATGCAATGCAGATGTATGGTTCTAAATGTCATCTCGAACACACCACACTTTGTGTTGTTGCAGGACTTCGCCAAGTTCGAGCACGGAAACGTCGCTATGGTCAACGGTGGACGTTCTCTAGGTCGCGTTGGTATCATCACACACACCGAGCGTCACCACGGAGGTTTCGACATTGTGCATCTTAAGGTATGTGTGCACACGCATAAAGTCACGCCTGCATGTCATACATACTCTTGTACATTTATAACATGCCAGGCAAGCTTCACCTGTTTCTATGCATGTGATTGATACATATACGCGGGTGGTGGTTGTGTACGACGAATATGAAGAGACCTTAGCTATCCAGTTCTGCTACTGAGTGCATTCCTGTGCTGTGAATTTTAGCTCAGATTCGTCTATACGAAACAACAAAAATATCAGTATTTCGTATAATCAGTATCTATACACTGTTCTCACCGGATACCATCTCGTTCCGTTTCTTCCCTTTCCGTTTGTCTATAGGATGTTCTTGGTCACGAGTTCGCGACCCGTCTATCTAACGTATTCGTTATCGGCAAGGGTAACAAGCCCTGGGTATCGCTACCCAAGGGTAAGGGTGTACGTCTAACGATTGCGGAGGAGCGTGACCGTCGCCTGGGCCACAAGACCACTGCTTAAATTAGTTGTGTGGACTAATACTGGGTAATAAATCAAATAAGTAAATCTAGGTGCTGGATTGGCCATCTCAAAGCCGGAGTTTGTATATTATTGTTTAGTGGTTATCAGCGTGTTAGACTTCTCGATGTGGTGTTGTGTGTGTAATCATCCAGTCCGAGAAATCTAGGTGTTGTGACCACCTTAAAGCTTCATGTGGTTATTAGTTTGGTGCATTATGGGTTCGATGTGCGTTTGTATATCTTTATTCATATTTGGACGTTTACGCGTGGTGTTTCACTATAGAAATTCTTATGGCTGGGGTTGTAAATGTAGGTGCATGTGATTTCGGAGTGACACCCCACGTTATTTAGTTGTGGAATGATATGCCACAGTTGCATCTCGGTGTGTCGTACCTCGTGTCAGAAGTATCTCCCAGTGGCCCAAGTCTGTTATTGGTGTATATATATGGGAATACATTGCCTTGCTGTATGTACGTTGTGTTTGAGTTGTATGTCTTGCTGGATAATTCCAGGACACGCGGGTGCCTCCTTGTTGGTATAGTTGAGCTATGCTGAGTGGTAGTATGTCCACAGCGCACTATTAGATGCAGATCCCCTGGCTACACAGATAGTGAACAACAGAAGTCGTTCAGTGAGAGATACGGCTGACTTCAGTAATATTAACGCTGGGTTGAGCTTTCTTCTATGGCCAAGTGCTTCAACTGTACTGAACGGGCCGAAGTGGAGAGCTTCCGCTAGATGAGTAGAGTATATTTCTTGCGAGAAAAGTCTGTCATCCGATAAGGAAGCTATGATGATTTGGGAAGTTGATGCACATTTCTATATATATTTATCAACTTCCCAAATCCCACTTCCAATTCGACTGGCCTTGTGCGCGAATAACACAAGCCTGAATCTGCATGCTGCCCGACTCTTGGTGGATGGCGATGCCGTTGTCAGAAAAGGCTTTAGCTGTGTTGAGGATATCTGGGACGTTGTGATTTCTCATCGGATGGTAGTATACAAACAACATATCCTTCTATTTTATTCACATATTACTTCCATTTACTTCGGCGGGTCTAGACTAATATTCATATCCCCTATACCAATGCTATCCCATGTCCATTACATATAACTGAACAAAAATAACGTTGAATTGATGTCATTGTCAAACCTGTATTGTCAGTTGATTATTCCTCGGTTCGAGCTGAATTCTCAATATAGCACTTTAGACGCTATATTCATTACAACGCTTTATTCACTACAATGCTTTAGACGCTTTATTCACTACAACGCTTTAGACACTTTATTCACTACAACGCTTTAGACACTTTATTCACTACAACGCTTTAGACACTTTATTCACTACAATGCTTCGGACACTTTATTCACTACAACACTTTAGACGCTATATTCACTACAACGCTTGAGACACTTTAGACGCTTTATTGACTACAACGCATTAGTTGCTTTATTCACTACAACGTTTTAGACGATATATTCACTATATCCCTATATTCACTACAACGCTTTAGACACTTTATTCACTACAACGCTTTAGACGCATTATTCACTACAACGCTTTAGACGCTAAATTCACTATATCGCTTTAGACGCTATACTCACTATAACGCTATATTCACTTCAAAGCTTTAGACGCTTTGTTCATTACAGAGCTTTAGACATTTTATTCACTATAAAGCTTTAGACGCTTTATTCGCTACAACGTTTC